AATGTGACTGCCGCTTCTCCGAGGAGGCCTCGCTCAAGAGGCACACACTGCAGACGCACAGCGACAAGCCCTACAAATGCGACCGTTGCCAGGCCTCCTTCCGCTACAAAGGCAACCTCGCCAGCCACAAGACCGTCCACACGGGTATGGCCTTGTCCCACAGTGAGTGCTCCAGTCAGGGACTGCAGACAGTGACCTTAGGAAAACAAACAAACAAACAAACAAACAACAACAACAACAAAACCCTGAGGACTTTGTGGGAGTGAAGCAGGCCCCCATCCTGGCTTCGGTTCTCAACCTGTGGGTCAAGCCCCCTTGGGAGCTGAATGGCCCTCTCACAGGGTCATATATATCGGATATCCTGCATGTCAGATATTAGCATTATGACTCATAACGGTAGCAAAATTGCAGTTATGAAGTAGTAACGAAAGTAATTTTATGAATGGGGGTGGGTGGGCCGGGGTGGTCACCACAACATGCGGAACTGTATTCAAGGGTCGCGGCGTCAGGAGGGTTGAGAACCACCGAACTAGGGGCTTAACCTGCCTTGTCTCTTCCACCTCCCCTTATTCTTTGTGTTTCCTCTGAGATCTTATCCCTGCTTCTCTGCCTTTGCTGGGGTTAGAAGAATTAATCCCCCTGGTTGCAGGAGGAGACCAATGCTGATAGAGGCAAAGTGGATTGGGTCTGGGTAAAACCAGCTAAAACTAAGAGCCGCTGGATGTCCCTCAAGGACTTATCAACCACCTTACATTCTTTTTCCCAGGACACTTCTCACAGCCTCATTGTTGTGGGCATTAACTAGCTCTCAGACCTTTCAGTGGCCCCATTATCCCTGAAACTTTCCATGGTGGAAGGCTCAACCGTAGATTGGTTTCCTCTGCCCGGCTTCTGCTCAGGCCCCACACCCCGCCTTGCTTGCAAATGGAATACAGCTGTACTTGCCACAAGCGGAAAAGTATGTTCTGGGAGAAACTGGAGCAGCCTGATTGTATCTCCCTGGTGACTGAGTGGATTATTGCATCAGTCTGTCCAAGGGAAGAGCCCGGGGAGTCTTCCCAGGTCGTCTAGATCAGCCCTTCCCATTCAGAGAGGGAAACTGAGGCCCAGAGAAGGGCAGTGTCTTGCTCAAGCCCTACAGGCAGATGACCCTAGCGACAACACCTGTTCTGCAGGTCGGGCTTCCTGAACCCTTCCCCACCGGGTCCTATGCATAGCATTGATTCCCATCCCAACCATGCCACCTGTGCTTATTTCTTGGCCTTGTCCCCTGCCGCCTGTGCTGGTGTGTGTGAGCAAGGATGACAGGTCCCTAGATCAGTGGTTCTCCACCTGCAAGTCATGATCCCTTTGGGGGGTCCAACGACCCCATCGCAGGGGTCACCTAAGACTATCGGAAAACACAGCTATTTACATTACAGTTCCTAACAGTAGCAAAATTACAGTTGTGAAGGGACAATGAAAATAATGTTATGGCTGGGGGTCACCGCAACATGAGGAACTGTAGTGAGGGGTCGCGGCATTAGGGAGGTTGAGAACCGCCGTCCTAGATCCTCCCACTGACCTCCCTGTAGAGAAGGGGAGGCATTCGTGGCCTTGGACAAGAGTAGTTGCTTTGAAGTTTAGGGTCAGTGTGGTCCTCCATTGTAATGGGAAAAAAACGTGTCTTGGCAATAGGTGAGAAACCCTATCGTTGTAACATTTGTGGAGCACAGTTCAATCGGCCAGCCAACCTGAAGACCCACACCCGAATTCACTCTGGAGAAAAGCCCTACAAGTGTGAGACCTGTGGGGCCAGGTTTGTGCAGGTGAGCAGGGCAGCGTGGGGGAAGGGACGCTGTGGGGATGAGGACCTGGGCCTTGGCTGGCAGTGCACCCTGGCCGCACCTCTCACACTGTGCTCCTCCTCCAGGTGGCCCACCTGCGTGCCCACGTGCTCATCCACACTGGAGAGAAGCCGTATCCCTGTGAAATCTGTGGCACCCGCTTCAGGCACCTTCAGACCCTAAAGAGCCACCTGCGCATCCACACAGGAGAGAAACCTTACCATGTATGTGGACCCTGTGGCTCCTGGCTGGCCTGGGAGGGAGGGATGTGGAGCAGGCGGGCAGCGGAGCTATGTTCTCCAACCTCTAGCGTACAGTGGACTAATGGGGTTCAGGAGATCCAGATCGGAGCTTGATTGTCACAGTCACCTCAGGTCTCAGTGTGCTCATCTGTGAAATGGAGGTATGGGTCTGGGTGACCTGGGCCTTAGGAAAGAATACATAGAATTGGGCCATTCATTCTTTCCACAAATACTTGCTGAGTGTCTCCATCATATCTCTACACTAGATATGTATGGAAGAGTACCTAAGATGGTAAAGCAGAGCTTAGAAGTAGGAGAGCAACCAGGGAGAAATGGCCAAGAAAAACACCAAAACCGGAACCCAAAGTAAACCTAGAAAACATCGTTTCAAGAAAGAGCAGGCAGGCACTGGAGGGTGGCTGGGCAGTTAAGAGCACTTGCTGCTGTTGCAGAAGGTGTGGGTTCAGTTCCCAGCACTTGAACTGGGTGGTTCACAACCACTTACAATTCCAGTTCAGGGGATTCATCACCCCCTTCTGGCCTCCCAGGTACCTGCACACATGTGGCGCAGATATAAATAAGCCCGCACATGCGTCAATAAAAAGAAATGAAAGTCAAAAGAAAGAGCAGGTGCCTAAATGCTTTGTGCCATGTTAAGAACAGGCTGTTGGGATGGTTGTGTCACAGAGCATAGTCTCAGCAAACGACGGCCTGCTGGTTAAGTCCTGAATGTTGTGTAAGCCAAAACTTGGACGTTGTGAGTTGTGTGAAATTTAACTTTCATAGGACATAATATACAATTGGAACGCAGCCACACTGATTTGTTTACATAGTGTATGAGGCTGCTTTGAGGCGTCAAGGGCAACGCTTCAGGTGCTGCTGGGCTAATCAGTGAACGGTTTGCTCACACCCAGCGGTAAAGCATGCCAATTTTTGTTCACTTGCCTCTAAGGCTTTGGATGAGTATCTTTGTACTTGCTGTTTCTCTCTTGGCAAATTAGTTAATTTTTTCACCCTTAGTGCCTTAATTTCCCTATCTGTACATTGACCCAGAAAGTACTGCCTACTTCATGAACTGGCTCTGTTTAGGTAACTAATTCATTCAGGGCTTTGAGTTGTTCAAGCTCACAGCTATGGCGTGATCTCTCAGAATTTTAGTCACAGAGGCTATAAGAATTGAAAGGGACATTTGGCATCGATTGACACAACCCCTTGCAGAAGGGAAAGCCAAGGTCTTGAATCTCCATAAACTTAGGCCATCTAATCCAGTTGTGCTATTGCATTCAGACTGATTTCAGTTTTCTGAGGGTGCATTCTGCTAGAGAGTAGGGAGACCACAAAGTTTGGATGAGAAGTATTAACTTCAAAGTATCAACCACCTGACTGAGGACGTTAATGCACCAGGATGATTGTGGGGCAAGGCTGTAAATCTGTGATCTAGAAAGAGATGGATTGTTTTATCTTAGATTCAGAAATGCATTACTAATTAGGGGAGTTTGCATCGGAATTTATTTTGGATAAGACTTATAATCTTGCAGTTAAGTCAGGGAAGGGCATCTCAAGCCCGGGGAACAGGAGTGACACATTGGAAGGGAAGGCAGGGACATTTGCTCAAAGTATACTGAACATCCAGTGGAAGCCAGGATTCAAATGGGTTCTGAACCCGCCCTTTTAGAGGGAGGAGCTGCCTCCACCCCACCCTCACAGGGACATCTGGGCTCCGCTCTGGGTTTTTTGAGAAATGACACGTTCCTCAAGTCGATGACGGCTAACACTTTGCTTCTGGTGTCTCTCCAGTGTGAGAAGTGTAACCTACATTTTCGTCACAAAAGTCAACTGCGACTCCACCTGCGCCAGAAGCACGGCGCCATCACCAACACCAAGGTGCAATACCGCGTGTCGGCCGCCGACCTGCCTCCGGAGCTCCCCAAAGCCTGCTGAAGCATGGAGTGTTGACTCTCCCGAGCCCTTTCCCCCAGAGCCTCCCCCGAAGGATGCTGTAACACTTTACAAAGGTCATCCCATGATGTAGTGCCTCTCTCATCCACTAGTGCAAATCATAGTTGGGGTGGGGGGGTGGGGGTGGGGTTTGCGGACCGGGAGCCAAGGCAGCTCCCCTTCCCACACTGCCATAAAACATTAAGAAAATACTATTGCTTCTTCTTCTCCTATGTGTACGGCAAACCATGTCAGCAAAAAAAAGCAAAATCATCTTTCTGTATCCAAGTAGGGAAGAAAGCAAAAGTTCAGACGTGACAGGTTGCAACATGAGGAATGTAAACGTTCTGTGGGAACAGAAATCTCTTTTGTATGTAAATGTATTGTTTTAAAAAGACAAGACTTCAGTATGTTGTCAAAGAGAGGGCTTTAATTTTTTTAACCAAAGGTGAAGGAATATATGGCAGAGTTGTAAATATATAAATATATATATATATAATATAAATATATAAACCTAAAAAGATATATTGAAAATATAAAACTGCGTTAAAGGCTCGATTTTGTATCTGCAGGCAGACACGGATCTGAGAATCTTTATTGAGAAAGAGCACTTAAGAGAATATTTTAAGTATTGCGTCTGTATAAGTAAGAAAATATTTTGTCTAAAATGCCTCAGTGTATTTGTATTTTTTTGCAAGTGAAGGTTTACAATTTACAAAGTGTGTATTAAAAACAAAAAAGAACAAAAAAAAAGCTGCAGAAGGAGAAATGTCTACTTTTGTTCTAGTTTTCAGTTTGTATATACCTGTAACGTGTCCTCACGGTGCCTTTTTTCACGGAAGTTTTCCATGATGGACGAACGTGCGCCATCCCTTTTGGAAGTGTTGACAGACACAGGGACCTGAAGTTGTCACTGACTGAAGTCTCTTTGGGAATGTTTGACTCCTCCCACATTCTGCGTCATGCTTGTTCTTATAATTACTCCGGAGACAGGGTTTGGCTGTGTCTAAACTGCATTATTGCGTTGTAAAATATAGCTGTACAAATATAAGAATAAAACGTTGAAAAGTCAAGTGAGATTTCTCCGAGGATCTATCATTGCGTGGAGATCCATCGGGGGCGGGGCGGGGGAGGGGTCCAGCCTCCCGTGTTCATGTTCCAGTGGGAGATGTTCTAGAAGGGGAAGGACTGCTGGCCAGGGAGACGTTGAAAAGGCCAGATGGAGGTTTGTCCTCTTTCTGCCTGTTTTTGTCCCGAGCACAGGAGCAGCTGCAGACCCCAGACACAGGGCCTGTAGGTCAAGTGGAGGATTTGAATGGACCCTTCCCCAGCTCTGGGCGGCGCTCTGCATTCCAGCCCTTGCTCTTTAGACACAAAGTTTCGTGGTCTCTTCCACACGTGAGCCTCACTCAGTTGATTATTCCTTTCTTAAGTGAGAGGTTCCCATCGTGGCCCTGGCTTCACAAACAAGTTCTCTTCACTTGGCTACCCAGGGCAGGTCAGAGGCATCTGGCTTAAGCCACACATTTCTCAGCCTCGGTACATTTGGCGTCTCCCCGGTGACTGGCAGTTGTTTACAGACTTAAAAGCTTTATGATTGGCCAGAGGCCAAGCAAGCCCCTACCCCTGTGCTGGAGCCCAGCCACCACACCTCTGTAGGTTGGATCACCATTTTTGCTGTAGTTAGTTCTCTGTCCCAGCTTATCTAAGAGGAGGCTGGGTTAACCAGACCGTTTATGAGTTATAACCATGATTCAGATGTAAGTTCACACTGGCCTGCTTTGGCATCCATTCTTACTTTACCTCAGAAAACCCCAAGGACCCAGTCTGATTGACAGGCTCCGAGGACTGGGAAGACAAACGTGGTTCTGGTAATGGGCCCGGAAGAGAAAGCCCGCATCCCCTTCCTGTTCCTGGGTGGCAGTGGCGAGGGGACACGTGCCCCCTGACCAGCTCGCGGCAGTGGCCGCAGCAAGCTCCGAGCACGTGTCGGGAAGCCGGAGGAGCTGACCACCCAGAGCCCCAGAGAGAGCTTCAGAAAGTCACGCCACCCTCTGCCAACCGCACGGGCCTGCAGCTCAGGTTTCCTTTGAAAATGACTTTAAAGGACTTGCCAGCTCAGGGCCTCAGCTCACCCTGTTCTTTGAAAAGGGAGAAAATGATCCCTCTGCTCCCATAGAAACCTGGCAGAAGAACTTACAGAAGAGACCAGCTTCAGGAATGACAATTCACAGGCCCGAGGGAGGCTGGCCCCAGGCTCGGTTTGCTCCCGAGAGTCTGTTTTTGTATCATTACTATTTATGAGGGAGACGGAGGAGCAGAAGGGGGGGGGGGGTGTTCCGACACAAGAGAGATCAAAGACAGAGCTACTACAGTCAGCTGATGATTAATAATAAGTAACAAGAAAACATCTCTAAACAGTGTTATTAAGAGAGTACAGCCCAGAGCAAGGGGAAGAGAGAATTTTATTACAAAAGCATGGAGTGAATCCATTTTCACATTAAAAAGAAATGGTGTCTCAAAACCCAGGCTGTGCTTGATATTGTTTACATCATGGACGTTTGGGGGGCGGGGGGCAAAGGTTTGTCAGGACCTCGAGTTGAGGCGTGTATGGAGGTAGGTGTATCAGCTTTTGTTATAGTTTGCTTTCTGTTGCCGTAATAAAACACAGACCAAGAGCAATTTGGGGAGGAAAGGGTTGATTGGGCTTACACATCCTGATCCCAGTGCACCTTCGAAGGAAGTCAGGGCAGGAACTCAAGGCAGGAACCTAGAGTCAAGAACCGAAGCAGGAACCACCACAGAGGAACATCGCTTACCGGCTTGTTCCCCGTGGCTTGCTCAGCCTGCTTGCTGATGCAACCCTGGCCCATCTGCTCAGGACCCTCCCCCATCAACATAAATCAGGAAGATGCCACAGAGACTTGTCTACAGGCCGGTCTGAGGGTAGGATCTTCTCAGCTGAGGTTCTTACTTCCCAGATGACCTTATCGAGAGTGGAGTTGACAACTGAGCAGCACAGATTTCTCCCCGCTGTGACCGAATGCTCAGCACAGCGAAGAAGGGTTGACGTAGGAAGGGTTGATGTCCCTAAGCTCACAGCCTCAGAGGTTTCTGTCCGTAGTCCCTGGTTCTGCTAACTCTGGGCCTGTGGAGAGACAGGATATCACGGCGGACAGGAAGCAAAGAGAGAGAGAGAAGGTCAAGACACAGTCCCAAGTGACCTATTTCCTCCAGCTAGGCCTCAACTTCTAAAGTTTCCAGAACCTTCTAAAATAGTGCCACCCACTGAGGATAAGCCTTTTAAAACAATAAATAGCTTTTGGAGAGATTGGGGGCTTGACTGTATATCTAAATCACAGTAGTAGGCCTATGGATGTGAGTGAGTAGACACGCAGAGCTGTTCAGGAGTTGGAAGACACACAGTAGAGAGAACCTTCCAGTTCAAGTGTCTCTTCTGATCCATGAGGTGACTAAGGGAAACAGGTCTGTTGCCATGGGGTGACTGGGCAAGTAAGGAGACCAGGCTCCTCCCTACCCCAACCCTTGGAAAGAACAGGTGTCTGTTCTGATTTAGGGAACTGACGAAACGGCAGGACCAAGGTCACGCAGCTAAGTGCCCAGCTTGCCTGAGTTCCCACACCCAGCTATTTGTGGAACTTCATGTTCAGTCAGTAGTTAGGGCTTCGGCATCTTGTTTTTATTTCTTTGTATCCCTCACAGCAGTAACGAATACGAGCTTGTCTCCTGTTCTCTCAGAGGCATGCTCAGGAAAACGTTAAGAGAAGGGGGGAAGGAAACCCGGGAAGAGCTGACCTCTGGGCACTAGTCAGGCCACAGCAGTGGCGGAGCCCCAGAGCGAGGCTTTCAAAGCAAAATGATCTTCCAGTACTGGGTTCTATGGATCTTGCTATCATTTGGAGGTTTCTGGACTTACATTTCTGTGAGACTCAGTATCTCTTACAACTACTTATGTGTCTATGGGTACCTGTGTCCAGCACCTTCTCTTTACATGGGCTAGTCTGTGTGGGTTTCTAGTTTCTGGAACCAGAGCACAGTTTATGCTGGCAGCCAAACTTCATATATACTTCATATTTCATGTTTGATATAAGTATATCTTTGGGTTTTAAGTTACTTATTTACAATGTTCTTATTAATATAACTACTTTAAAATATATAAAAGGGTCATTTACTAATCTCTGAAGTGGCAAAGGGAAAAGTATCTATAGTCAAACTATTAAATGAGATGATTGGAAATTGTTAAGCAGTAACATTGCTCCCCCTGTTGGCTAAAATCAAGTGTGAAATTGTTAAGTAATAAAACTTTTACAGTACTCCATCAAAAGCAGCAAGTCAAAGTACACATTTATTCCTAGCAACTTGATCATTTTGCATTACTGACTGTAAGGAACAATAGCATGAGCGGCTGGAGAGAGGGGTGGGCAGAGAGCGCTTGCTGCTCTTTCAGAAGACCTGAGTTCAATTCCCAGCACCCACAGCAGGCAGCTTAAAACTGTTTGTAACTCCCGCTCCAGGGGTAAAAAAAAAATAGAGAAATAATACCATGAAGGATAACGTTAGACTTTGGAGACTATTTTACAATAATTAAGTTATCAGTTTCACATTTAATTATGGCACAACGATAAAAGTTTGCCCAGTGCGTTTCACAGCTGAGCAGTAGAGCTGAGCACTTTGTGACTTTCATAGAGATCTACAC